CGATTCCTGCCCGGGACTGGTTTTTGTACCTTGACGTTTAAAGAAGCTGCATAGAATCTCCACCTGCAGTTGTAGTTTGAAGAGTTTGAGTCTGAACGTGGATTTTGTAAGCACTATGTATTCTAGAGCACTCTTAGTTTTATTGTTAGACTGTAATATTGCCTTTGGTAGTGATTAAAGTCTGTGAAAAATAATATATTTCAGTTACATGAGGAGAGCAGGATTCTTTCCTCACTGATGGTTGGAAAGCTTCCAGTAGGTCTTGAATGAATGTCAAAATTAATTGTATTATCTGTGTTAGAGTATCATCTCTTGGCCTCAGAGAAGAGTATAATTCTGTTTATTCTGTTTGCCCCCCCCCCCTTTTTTTTTTAACCAGAAGTGATTATCTGCAGTTATATGCAGTAAAAAATGTGTATGTTCAGTGCAGTGTTAACTGAACCTACTGCCTGTAATAATTACAGCTTTTGAGAATGGGAAGTACATTTAAAATGTTGAAACTTTAGACAAAGTATCCCATGAAGGATAAATGTTATTCCTAACATGACTGTCTTAATTTAAAAAGATCGATAGTGCTGGCAACTTTCTGGAGCAGATAATGTTTTTTCAATCCACATTATCTAGTTATGGACTTGAAGACAGTCCTTGTTCTGAAGGGATTCCAATGTAAGTGGCTGTTCTTTGTGGAACCTCTCAGATTAGTAATAAGATACAGAACTGGGTATGTGCTTTATGAATACTGTATGTAGGCACTATACTTATATAATAAACATTGTATGGTGAAATCATCCTTTTCCTCCTGCTAATACTTTGCAATCTTTTTTTTATTTCAAAACTTTATAACCTGCTCTGATGATACTGATTTTTAACTAGTTAGGTAAAAGTTGTAAGGGGCTAAAACTTTTATCACTATTTTTAATTGCACTGTTTTCTTTTTCTTACAGTGGTGGGAAGGACAGCTGTTATAATATGATGCAGTGTGTTGCTGCTGGGCATCAGGTTGTTGCTCTAGCCAATTTAAGACCTGCTGAAAACACAGGTATGAAAGCCACGTTTCTTATAGGACATTTTTTTTTTTTTTAATGTTAGAAACAATGCAGGCACAGCTGTGCCTGAATTAAGTTCCTTTATGTGTTTTTATATAGTTTTGCATACTGAAGGACAATCTAGAAATCTTAAAAGAGGTAAAAAAAAGGAAAATGCTATGGAGATGTATTAAATGTATTTTTCCTCAAAGGGGAAAAAAACACAAGAAGATCAGTAAAAGAAAGGCTTACATCATTTGGAAAAAGGGAGAATACGAATATTCCTGGTGGTAAACAAAGAGATTGTGTGAGTTCAGTAGCACAAATAGTAAAAGTTGATAGAGGGATATCATCAAACAAAACAAACACTGTATTTTTAGAAATGCTTTAAACTGGCATAAACCATTCCAGCTGCCAAAAATATGCAGTTTTGCTGCTGCTCATTCATTTTTAGCCTTGTGTATCTTCCTCCATTATTCTAGCCCAGCATTTGTGAACTGGATGGAGGAACTGATCTGGATTGGAATTTACCTTGATGCACTTTTTCCTGCCTTTTTCCTTCCTTTTAGCTTGGACTAGTTTTCTGATCAGTTCCTCACAGTCTGCACTTAGACTTATTTCTGTGAAAGAGAATGAGAGAAGCACAGGTAGTCTAAGTCAGTGGTGAGGTGAGAGGGTGAGCTGAGTACTTCTGTGTTGGACTAGAGCATAGATAGAACTTGAAGTGAGACTCAAAAAAGAAATGAGTTGTGTCCCAGTTGGTAGGGGAGAACATTAAAGTATGTTAACATAGATTAACTGTTCAACATATGTTAAACAGTTAAGTATGATATCTGGTAACTGTGTGGTAGGAAGGTACACAGAAATTGAAGGACAAAGGGAGCTGCTATGGCAAATGAGTCACGGAGGGAACTGGCAAATGCTAGGGAGTACAGGAACAATTTATTTTCTGGGTAGCTGGGACATAATCACCTCTAATCTCGTTGAAATATATTGTCTTTAAACTATTTTATCCACATCAGAAATGTAGAATATTGTCATTAAAATCATAAAATGCTCTCTTTAAGTGTGTAGTTGGAAATTTTGTGGAAAGTTAATTGAGGTGCTTCAGGCAACAGCGGATTCTATGCCATTCATGTTATTTCATCTTGTACCACTGTTGCCTGGAGAGTCTCAATTAATAAAGAAACTGTGTATTCTGAACTGAATATCGGTTTAAAGACGTTGTCATACTCATGTATGCTGAAAAACACTTGAGTTTTCTTTTAAATCAACTATTCTGGTCTAGGTTGGTTGGTTGTGATTATGGATTTGGATTTGCCTGTTTTAAGCAAAAGCATATCTGTTGTGTGGCATCAAATGTGACATGACCTAATTGTTACATCACAAATTAGTTATCTTGATCAATGTTACAGACCTTTCTCTTTGCAAGATGTGCTACGTACGTATACAGCAGAGATGCTTGATGTGTCTGTGTAAATTAAGAGAAGTTCTGGTATTACAAATTAGCATTAAAGTAGTGAATTGTGTTAGCTTTTAATAAATAAAGTGGAGATTTCACCAACAATGAGGTATTGATTTATCAATCTGAAAAATTAACTGAAAGATTTTATATGTAAACGGTTTATCATATAGTTTGAGATTTAATTTTAATCCATGATGTCTGCATTTTAGCTGTTTTTTTCTTATCTGCTAGCTACAAACTGCTTGGAAGAAAATTCAGTTAAATTTTTCTCCTGGTTAAGGAAATAGCAGCAAAGAGTTGATTTCATTTTAGAGCTTAATTTTTAAAAGGAGTTAAGGTAGAAAGAGCCTGGATATTATAACATATTTCCTTTTCTTTTTGTTTATTAAGCAGTGCCAAAACATTATGGCGGTCTACTTTTATTCTACTTAAGCAGAACTAACCTCCTCTTCTTGATGACCATGATAACAATTTGAACAGCAAAGCTTTTGGGAATTTTGACAACCTATTGCTTATTCTCAGTGTTGCAGTGCATTCCAAATTTCTTGCTCTGAGTATGTTGAAATGCATCTGGGTTTGTGCCTCTGAATTGTGTTCCTATTCAAATTACCATATAAATAAGAGCAGAGTTGGACCGTTAGGAGATTTTTGGATGAACAGGGAGGAATACTAAAGAAGAAATAGACACCACAATTTCCAAATACGTAGCATATTTGGGACAGATGTCGTCTTCTCCATATGTATGTTTGGGTGGAGAAATTTTATTTTTTTTTTCTTTCCATGTTTATGTAAATATTGTCACCAAACATCTGTTTGTGAACCAAAATATATTAACATTTAGGTTTTCTCAGTGCTTTGTAGTATTGTGATTATCTGTAGTTGTTGAAATAATGTACCTAATATGATTGTTTCTTAATTGTGGCAGGGCAGACTGATGAATTGGACAGCTATATGTACCAGACAGTAGGACACCATGCCATTGACCTATATGCTGATGCATTGGATTTGCCACTCTACCGTGGTTTCATAAAAGGTACTAGTGTAAATACTGGAAGAGTGTATACCACGTGTCAGGAGGATGAGGTTGAAGACCTTTACAACCTCATGAAACTTGTTAAGGTATGCTAAATGAAAAGAATTAAATAATTAGGGACAATTATGTTGCTTAACTCATTTATGAATTTAAGTAAATGATCTACTTAGGTATTTTAGGAAAGCTTTGAGGAAAAAAAACTGAACACTTTTGCAAGTTTTATTTCTATTCCTTTGTTATTCCTAGCCCTGTGAATATTTAGAGTAACTTTAGTCCTTTTTTCCCCAATGTAAATCAGACCTTTTAATCCCCATTTCAAGCCGAAACCTTGTTCCTATCTAATAAAACCACTTGTAACAGGTGCTTGGCATGTACTACAAAAACATAATTGTGAAAATTGTCTATAAATAAAATATTTATGTAGTTTCATATTTGAAATAATGCATTGCTTGATTACTGGAATGAGAGATATTTTGAGTTTTGTGCATTTATTGGTGTATGGAAGGTAATGTCTAGACATTTCTGTTTGTGTACACTTACGCTCTGTAAACCAGAATCTGTTATTTGTTTGTATGTTGCAGATCATTCACAAAGTATTACAGAATATTTTATAATTATAGTTTTGATTCCAGTAACCCTGTAACTATATTCTAATATATCACATAGTGGCAATAACATATATCAATCCTTTTTATCTATAAAACCAATGAAAAGGAGATAACGAGTGTATTTCCTAAAACACTTGAAATTTGTTCTCTGTTCTTTTCCAAAAAGTTTCATGTAGTACTTTATTTTCCACCGGAATTAAATCAGCTCTCATTGAAATAAATAGAAAACTTTCCATTGGCTTCAGAGGTTTTACACAAAGTTTGAGTGAACATGCTATGTCTATCTGCATTAATTGTGTTGATGGCTGCAGTGCACAGTACTAAAAAATACGGTTCAGAAAATCATATTAATTGCTGTTCTAAAAAAGGTAAATACATATTTAATTTTATTGATCAAACTGGTAGACTACTTTCTGAAACTTCAGCTAAAGATATTTGTAGTCTTCAATTCAGGTATTGAATGTTTTCTAGCCTGCTTTCTTCCATTGAAATGAGAATTGAAATTCATGAACCTAAAAGCTTCAGGCTTATTCTTTGTTCAGTTTAAAAAAAATTAACTTGCAGATCAGACCTAAGAATGTGCTTTGAGTGCAGAATGCTTCCTGAACCATGTGGGAGTCAAATGTTACATCTTCTGAACATTTTTGACAGGGGCATCATGTTCCTCTAAAGTAAAATCAAGATCATACACCTGTGTTGGAGTATGAGACTACGAAACAGGAGAACAGCGCATGTAGGCTGTACGGCCTCAAGTTGTGCCAGGGGAGATTTAGGTTGGATATCAGGAAGAATTTCTTCACTGAAAGGGTTGTCAAGCATTGGAACAGTCTGCCCAGGGAGTGGTTGAGTCACCATCCCTGGAGGCGTTTAAAAGACGTAGATGTGACACTCAGCGACATGGTTTAGTGGTGGACTTGGCAGTGCTGTGTTAATGGTTGGACTCGATGATCTTAACGTTCTTTTCCAACCTAAATGATTCTATGATTATGCTCTAGAGCATTTCACGGAAGTTTTAAATGGAACATGCATATCATACAGTACAGGAGTTGAAAGAAATATGGTACAGCAGTTTTAAATTATTTTTGAACTATGATAGTAGTAGAAATTAGAAGGACTAGTATATGCTGTCTCTTAAAGCTGCATACTAACAGCTTTCTGCCGCTGGGTAAGATAATAAATTACTGATCAATTTAATTAAAAATGGGAAGATTAGTGGCAATTAAGATGATACTTCCTTTTCGATTCTTGCTGTCTTTGGAGAAATGGATGCCTGACGTAAATTAATGCTAGCATTAAATCTTGACAACTTCTGCTTTGGAAGTTTGTACATGATAATTATAACTATAGTTGAAAGAGATGTTATCAAGTTGTCTGGAATTAAATAACTGTTTCTTTCCTGTATAGAAATATTAATTCCACTATACGATATTTTAAAGACATAAATATTAACAATATACTGCCTTTATGTTAGACTTTGGATAACCATGTCTTTACAGTCAAACTTGTCTGAAATTCCGGTGCAAAAGTGTCAGTAGAAGTCTTGTATATTCTGATGAATAATTGCAGAATTGTCAGGGGAATGTAAACTACAGCAGATGTAAGTCTTTGGTTTTTCAGTTCTAAGAAAAAGACATGAAAATTTTTCTTTTGTGTGTTAACAGTAGCTTTGAAAGCTTTCTATTTTTATTTTTTCACTTTTTTTTATAACTGTAGTTTTGTAGCTTTACTATGTAGAGTCTTAACCACTGAGGATTTGCTTTAGGAATTTTTTTCCCCAGATGTTAATAGTTTTAAACAGAGAGCTCAAATTGCCTTCTGTTGAAGGGAGGGGAGGAATTCTGCAGAAGCCTTGTCAAAACGCATCCTTGAGTGGATGTAATTTCAAAACACTGGTCAAACTAACATAGTTCTGTTTTTCTGTCAAATGGTTTGGGCCCAAGAATGCAGGAAAGGCGTGTCTAGATCAAAATCACAGTGTGCCTCACTTTCTGTTTGTAAAGAACACTTGTATTGCCGGTACTACTTTAGTGAAAAATTAAAACAAAACACCTTTGAGAAACTAGTATGAATTCAAAAGTATTTGATGTTTTTAAAAACGATATTATGAGAACAAGATTTCTGAAAAGTTAAATATTCCCCTGCAGTACTGGGAAACCCAGGATGACAGTCCTCTTCTGGTTCACAGGACTCAGAAAGTGATATTGACTGCCAATGACTTTAAACCTGCTAATTTTATTATCACAAACCCAGATGATTGATAGGTGTGAAGGAAATTTATATATATTTTTTAGTTGCCTAATGCACTGTTTCAGACTCTGTATTCAATATATATTGTGAAACATACCAGAGTATTTATATGATGCCTAAAGTATTTTACTATGCAGGCCTCACCTGATAGTAGAATATTTACTTTGTGAGACATGTGAATCCTGAACTCTAAGGAATAATTTAATCTACTGTCCATGTTACTGAATAGGGATTACCAATACCCTTGTTTGTCCACGTTTGTCGCTCTGCGTATTGGAGATTTTTCCAGCAAAGCATGTAAGCATGCTAAGAAACTAAGTTTCTTAGTTACCTGAACTGTCCTTCAGGGTTTTATCATGGCGCTGTCTGTGAAACCAGGAAATGTGTGGCAAAACTGTGTTTCTTTCCCTTTAGTGGTTGGAAAGACTGGAGCTTGGAGGCATTTTTATGAAACTTTGCTGCAACATACCTCTCAGTATAGGTGTATTTAACTGCTTTCTCCCCTTTCCAATGTAATTATGATCTTGTCCAAATAATACATTGATGTTTTATGAAAGCACATAACAGTGGTGTTAGATGGGTTGAATGATGTATTGTTTTCTCTGTCTCAGGGAACTATGGCTAAACTTTTGTTTAGGGCAGTGGTTGCAGCAGCTCCCAGATTATACAAACCAATGCAAGATAATTTATTTCAGTTCTGGGTTTCAGTAGACAGTTCGATCCTCTTCCAAGTTTCTTGCTTTATCTCTTCTGCTCTATGGAGGCTTTGTCTTTATTTGGTACATTTCCACTGCTGGAGTAATTTGTAGAATTCTTGAACTTGATAAAAAATTTTTTTCTTCTAGCTGTTTTTAAAAAATTGATTCTATTTATAATTTCTTTGTAATATATTTCCCTGTGTTTATTTTAAAGTATGCAAGTTGATTTTCAATGTATTTTCAGTTTAAACATGTTATTTCTCTTAGAGTTCTCTTTGTGGTGCGCTTTGTGGGTTCAGAACCTGCAAGCTTACAAAAAACCAAAGAGTTCCCTTGAAAGAAATTAATATATTGGATCTCAGGACTGAAGGATTATTAATTATGATATCATCCATTGATCATCAGCTGAAAAATAAGAATTCATGTTGGATATATTGGATGTATGAAACATTTGAATAGTAATAGCCTTTGTTTGTGGCACTGTTTCATTTTATCACTAAAGTGGAAGGGGAAAGAAAGAAAATTCATCTTCTAAAATATTGTCAGATTCTGGAGCAGGGATGTTGTAACCCAGTCAGTCACTAAGAAGAAGTAACGTGATTTTTAGATACAGCCACAAAGAGCTTATTAATACAGTGTGATTTCTGTATTTAATAGCTATTTTTTAAGGACAGGATCATGATATTTGAAAGGGACCCAGACTGATGTTTACTGAAGACAGGAAGTATTCCTGTCTGAGCGTTAAAATTGCAATAGCGGTGTAATGTTAGATGTTACTTAAGTTGATATTTTGTTTCAAAGTACTTTGGCTGTGCAGGTTCAGGTGGAATAGAGGTAACTTGAGTCCTGTCATTATTCGGTGAAACTCCCTCAGACTTGCCATTCTTCAGGAAACAGTTCTTTGGGGTTTGAGGTAAACGAATGAAATACAAGGTTATTCTGTGGCCTCTGGACAGGGATTAATTCCCTCACAGAAGATAAAGCTTTCTGTTCCTCATTATTGCTAATAATCTTCCATGCTAAGGAAACGGTCTTCTTTTTATCCTTCTCCAGAATTTAGCTGCTGTAGCCAATGGGTAAAATGGGTTCTTGGATTCAGTCTGACGACTGACTTTCTGTGGCTTTTGTACAGCCAAATGGTGCTCCCATCAGGAAAAATACATGAATAAACATAGCATAGTATTCTACTGCAGACAGTGCTTCACTGTCTTCACTGTTATAAAATGTGTTTAAAAGATACAGTAAAGTATTTAGAAATAGTAATTTGTCTTTTAGGTGTCCATTTTAATCGGCTCTCCATAGTCCTCATGTCTTCAGTGGTAGTATTTACATGATAAAGACTAATAGAGTACTCTTAACTCATACAAATAAGGTTCACAAGTTTTCTTAGGAGTCTTAAAGATCTAAATATTATTAGTTATGGAATCCTGATTGACTTCAAGAATCTGTAATCTGAGGACCTCAGCATGCTGTTCACCAAACTATTTTTGCGGTTTACAAGTTCAGACAAAATACCTAGCTTCCCCCTCTCAT